CTTTTCTTTTCGATTTTGGTCAGAGCTTGTGTAAGAATTGGTATAATTTCTTCCTTCACTACCGGATAAAATTCACCTGTTCGATGTTTGGGGTGTAGTATTTTTTATGTGGGAAGGTTTTACAACTATGGATGGCCTCAGTTTCCTTAATGAATACAGAGTTATTCAGGTAATGTACTTTCTGAGTGAGGTTTTGTGATTTGTCTTTCAGGGGATTTGTTCATTTAATTTAAGCTGTCGGATTGATTGATTGAATAGAGGTGTTTTTAAGAATTCATTTTTAGTATCTATAGAATCTGAACTCCTTGGAAGTTTTCTTCCTGTTTCTGTGTTATCAAACTTCTCGACTCCTGGGACTTATAGTTTTGTTTGAGTTTGAACCTTGTGGGCTGTTATTTGTTCACATATTTCTTGCTTCCTTTCTGCTCTTCTTGCCTTCAGAGACTCTAGCTATTCATACACGAGGCTGCTTAAAGTTATCCCAAAGCTCAGTGATGTTCCCCCCCCCTGCTTTTTTTTTTTTTTTTTAAGAACTTGGGATTGAACCCAGGCCCTCGCACAGGCTAGGCAAGCACTCCACCACCGAGCCACACCCAGCCCCCTGAAGATCTTTTAAAATCTTCTGAGATTCATTTTTCTATGTGTATTTTGGACACCTAATGACTGGGCACCAGGCAGAGTGAATTTTACCTTGTAGGGTGCTGGATGTTTTTGTTTTCTTATAAATCTCCTACCCTCCTTCCAGGATGCAGTTCAGCCACTTGGAAATGGTCGGATCCTTTGGAGGTCTTGCTTTTATGATTTCTTAGGTGTGTCCAGAGACATGCCCAGCTTGCAGCCGTGTTTCCAATGATCTAAGCAAAACCATCCTGCGTACTCCCTCCAGTGCCCTAGGAGTTTCTCCAGTTCGGCACTGAGCCCTGGCCCTGTGTGAGCCACACCTCATTCCTTCTAACACTATCTGATGTTATCTCCCTGGCCTTGAACATTTTCCTTATAGACATGCCCTGGTCAGTGTTGGGCTTAAAACCCAAGGGAGGATGCTTGGTTGGTCTCTGGGGTTCTCTGTCCTCTCTGCTCCAGGAACTCCGTCCTATGAAGTTGACCTGCCTTGGTCTCCAAGACCCTCATCCCTGCATCTCCTCAACTCAGGGGTCTTGCTCTCCTCCGGCTGGGTCCACTTCTCCTTGCTGCTTCCTGAAAACTCCTTCAAGTCCATAATCTGGGGCCATTGTGGGGCCATTTGTTTGCCATCTCTCAGGAATCACTGTCCCTCGGTGTCTGATATTGGATGATTCATGTCTTTTGTATGCTGTTTCCTGGGGAGTGGGCGACCAGGTAGAAGGGTAAATCCAATCTTGCTACACCATCCTGGCCAGAAGCAGAAGCAAAATAATTGCCTCTATGAAGACCTTTGTTTAGTGTTGATTCTATTTCACATAGTTGGCTGATTAAATTCCTTGAAACATTTTCAATTGCCCTTATAAAATCAATGTGTTGTATTTTCTGTTTAAGGGCTTCAGTTATCTGATAAATGAACGGAAACTTCCCAATTAAGGAATTCTATAAATCCAAGAAATTAAATATGTATTTTAAATTATTTCCCAAGATCCTGAGTGTTATAGTCTGTTTTGTGTTGCTGTAACAAAATGCCCAAGACTGAGTAATTTATGAGAGAACAGAGGTTTATTTTGGCCCATGGTTCTGGAGTATGGGAAGTCCAAGAATATGGTGCTCGTATCTGCTTGGCTTCTGGGGAGGGCCTCATGCTATTTCAATTCATGGTGAAGGGCGAGTAGGTATTGTGCAAGAGGCAAACCATGAGCCCTGCTTTATAATGACCTGCTCTTGTGGTAACTGGTTCAGTCATCTTGATAGTTAACTCAGTCCCTGTTAATCCCTCCCAATGGCCCCACTAACTTTGAACACCATTACATTAGGAATCAGATTTTGACAGGAACTTCAGAGGGCACAAATCATAGTAGTAAGTCATTCTACAAGTCTATAAATTAAAGTTCTGAGTACGGTAAGTCTTCTTTTAAATAAATGACACATTCATTTACTGACTGGCAAATTAATTTTATTATACTGATGGATCTAAAATTACTCTGACCAGAAATAAAATCTTTAAAAAATTAAAGTAACATGTATGTATATACATTAAGGCGAAATGGAAACATTTGATATTGGTACTCTTGACACTCAATAAATGGAAGTAGAATGACAATTTTTGGAAATATTTACCCACTTTTATTAGTTTTCAAGCTATATTTATTAACACAGAGTCCCTGTTGATAATCTGAAGAATGCATTCTAAATATGGTTTTATGGCTGGAAATGATATTTTCACCAAAGTCACTGAAATTTTTTTGAAATTACATTTTCCTCGTTGACAATTTGAAATTGTTGATAGACCAATTGATTCTTTTCTCCATTAAAATTCTGATCGAGAGCTAAGGAAGTACAGTAAATCCTAAGTAAGAGCACCACCCGTTCCCCCATCTTCTTGCTTGACTTCGATGGGGGACAAGGACAGGTAGGTGCCTGATTCCATGCTGGGAGGTAGTTTCCCGGGCCAGGGACCGGGCCTTGCAGGAGCAGGGATGGTAACTCAGAGGTTTTAAAGAAGGAAGGACCCAGAAACTCAAAGAAGGTGGTGGCTCCAGGAAGCAAACTGGCTTCTCTGTCTTTCAGAACTCAGCGAGAGCGGGGCTGTGTGGGATGGAGGAGGATGCCCACCCCAAGAGGACTCCCAGGACTCCCCGTGCCAGCGCCTGTTGGAAAGCAACACTGGAGGTGAGGCAAGGGTACCCTACAGGTCCTGGGAAGGGGTCCCGCCTGCGAGGCACAATGAATGACACTGCCAGGTTGCCAAAGATCCGAGATTCTACGGCATCTGCCTCCTGGGAATGAGGAAAGACCCGCGAGGGGTGGAAGGGAGCCCGTCAGACAGACTGGGCAGAGGGCAATGGATGCAGCCTAGAAAGAGAGGGCAATGGGGACAGACAGACAGGCAGAGGGGGTGCAAGCCTTCAATTCAGATCTGACAAAGAATTCCAATAAAATGACTCTATCTGAAACAGTGGCCAGGGAAGAGCTTGAACAAACAGTAATTTAGCACATTAAGATGCGGGTGCAACCTAAAGAGCCGTGTGTATTTGAAGCAATTTTAAAGACACACATCACAGTGGGAAAGCTCAAAACGCCAGGAGAGATTGAAAACCTAAACAATATGTGAAGCTTCTCTTCTTTAAAATGGTACCTCTCCCCAAAATGACTGCAGGTGCACAGATATTTGAGAAGATGAACAAAGAAACGAGGGAAAATGATGGAGTTCCAAGGAGAATCAGCACAAGGTCGGGTACATCCAATGCCAGCGAACCAACAATGACAAGGACACAGGTCCATACAAACACATCCCCAATGACTAAAGACAAGTCATCGCTCAGCACTGGGAGGGAAACAAGCATACGTGCTCAGAGCTCCACAGAAGGGACCAGTTCGACCACACGGGAGACAGGTACATTCAAAACCACGAAAAGTACAAATACATCCACACGAGAAGCCTCTCCAACCAGCCCAAATTTCAAAAATGCTGGGCCCAAAAATCTGCCCAAAACGGGGGCCTCAACTGAAGGTACTCAAAAAAGGTCTTCAGGGGCCAAAGTCCCAGCCAACACAATAGCTGTGATATCGGACTCCGACAACAGTTCTGGTTCCCCAAATACTGAGGTCACCAATGCCACCACCGATGTGAACTCACCTGCCAAAACTCAGGGGCCCTATTCCTTGACCACTGTCCCAGCCAACCCCAACATTGTGACCTCTGCCTCCGCAAACAATGCTGCTTCCCCAGCTCCGGTGGCCACCACTGCCACCACCAAAGAGACATCAGCAGACAAGAATCAGGGGAACTCTGCCTCGACCACTGGCCCAGCCAGCAGCACCACAGCTTTGACCTTTGCCTCCGCCAACACTTCTGCTTCCCCAGCT